CAAACAGAGCATCAAATCTAATTCTCAAGGCAACGGAGGCTTGGAGAGTTGGAGGAACTTTCCCAGTAATTAGTAACAAGTCTGTTCAGGGGCCCCCAGATTCAACCCCTGTGTTGTTTTCTCCCCTGTGGGGCATTTCATTTGAGCATAGTGAGCTGCCAGGATAGGTTAGCTGCAGCAAGAGCTCCTGGATAGCTGGATAGCTCAAAGAATTCATCCACGGAATACCACTGCTTGGAGTTCTCCATCTGGCTGTCAGAGTGCATTTGCCAAGACTCAAGAACAACAGTGCTGCTTTGGGCGTAATTAATGTTTAGACAATAACTGGTCAGCATGTTCAGCTGCTTCTCGAGGTCACTTCTGGGATATGAACATAGAACCCTGTATTGGCATAAACAGGATGTTTGTTTTCTCTGTGCTCTGTCAGGAGGCTATTATCTTGGTCGTGTAGAAGTTATATCGAATTGGTCAGGTGTAGGCTCATAAAACGGTGGGGGGGGATATAGCCCAGCCTAGTTTTATGCTGTTTGAAATAGAAAAGTTGAGGAATCTGACATCCATTTCTGCCCGATATGATTCTTGACGTAGTATTGTAATAAAGTCGGAAAACATTCTTTAAAAGTGTTAGATCAGTTTTTAAATTGTACAGTATGGCCCATAAATAATCCCTGTGCATGGAGCTGAAAGCTAACGCAGTCAGCAAATCAATACATAGTCGTCATGGCTCTACTCCCTGTCCTTTGCCCTCACCTCCCCTGCCTCTACGCATGTTAGGTCCTTCAGAGACAGGCTAGGCTCTTTACTCAAGTTGTTCAGAACGTGCATTAGGGTGTTTTTAAATATTGTATACATCAGGATCATCCTTGAAGCTCGTCAAAGGCAGAGCTGCTGACCATGGGTTCAGATCCCCAGGTCGGCTTGAAAATGTGCAGGTACATGCATGCCCAGGATACAGGCAGGCTGAAGGACCAGGGAAGGGGCCTTAGACACTGTTAAGGGTGTTCCTCTCTGTCCCTCTGTCATTTTTATGTGTATGCTTTCTATCATTAATAAAAATAAAAAACTTCAAAACCAAACAAAAATTCCTGAGAGCTGCCTGGACCCCTCTACAGACCCACTGATTCCAGATCTCGGGAAGCACGAGCCAGGCATCTTGATATTTCACAAAACCCTTAGGTGATTCTGATAGTCATCAAAGTTTTCAAGATATAGCCACTTGGTTAATGTTTTGGTAACATAAACTGCTACTATAGAAAACATTTCAGGAAGCATGTGTAGGAGATACACAGGCATAAACACATGTATGCAGAGGCTCCTTGGTTTCTTATTTGCATGTACATGGTCTAAATGTACCTGTAGATAAACATGCATCATTCATCCATTCATTCATTCATTCATTTTATTTATTTATTTTTAAATTATTTTATTTGGGGGGCCAGCAGATGGCGTGGTGGTTAAGGTGCTGGACATTCCCACAAGGCTGACCATGGTTTGAGTCCTGGATCTGGTGGCTTACTTTCTCATTTTCCTTCTCTCTATGTGTCTGTCTTTCTCTGGTCAGATTAAGATATATCAATGAATAAATAAAAATAAATAATTTATTTATTTTAATTTGACCAGAGGGGGACAGAGTGAGAAAGAAAGAGAGAGAGGGAGAGAGAGTGAAAATGAGAAAGCAAGCCACCAGGTCTGGGACTTGAACTGCAGTCGGCCATGTGGAAGTCCAGTGCCCTTAGCCACCACACCACCTGCCAGCCCTTCATTCATTTATTTTAGACAGGCCTCACTGTTTTGTGATCTTCCTGCCTCAGCCTCCTGAGTAGCTGAGACTACAGGTACAAAGCACCACACCCAGCTTTTAGGGTGAGCTGGGAACTGAACCTGGGCCTCCCATGTGGCCTCAGCCTGTCAAGGAGCAGCCTCAAACAACACGTGTCACCACAACTAGGCCTCTATTATGTTAAATAGTAAAGAACATTTATTGAGCATCTATATGTTTCAGGCACTATTAATTCATTCAACAACTATTGATCTATGTAAAAATCCTACTAGGGGCCTAGCTGTGGTAGCACGCACTGGTTGACACTGTTACTTGGCAAGCTGGCCTATGCGGGAGGCCCAGGTAATGCTAGGTGCTGTGGCATGCGCATGGAAGCCCAACTACTCAGAAGGCTGAGGCAGGAGGATCATGATATATTGAGACCTTGTCTAAAAGATAAAAAAAGCCTACTAAGGGCCTGGTACTATTTATCAGAAAATGAAACAGACAAAAGCCCTGGCCCCCAGGACTTTACATTTTAGTAGGGAGACACAACAATAAAATTAAGGAAGATAGTGATAAGACAGCAAAGGCCATGGCAGGAAGTAAAGTGGGGAGGGCATCACAATTCAGAGTAGGGTGGCAGGGGAGACTTGGGGGGGGGGGCGGGGAGGGAGTAGGCCCTGCCAGTATTTGAAGCACAAGTGTTCTAGGTTTGGGAAGCAGCAAGCACAAAACCTTGGACCTGAGAAGGAGCATTTATGATGACTCAGGAAATAGCCAGGAGGCTGGGGGCTGGCACATCTCAGGAGATGATCAGAGGGGCAAGGAACAGGTGGAGGTGTGGGTCTCAGGGGCCTGTAGGCCACTGGCAGT